GAAGGTGGTGGTGGTGGTGGTGGTGGGAGTGGGAGTGGGAGGAGGAAGCCATCATGGAGGGAAAGGGAGAATAATAGGAGGAGAGAAAGGAGGAGAAGGGCAATGGCAGCTAAGATTTATAGTGGATTAAGAGCACAGGGAAATTATAATCTTCCTAAACATTGCGATAACAATGAGGTTTTGAAGGCTCTTTGTGTTGAGGCTGGATGGATTGTTGAGCCTGATGGAACTACTTATAGAAAGGTTAATAAAATTCATCTTCTTTTATTAATTAATGTATGGTTTGTAGTGTTTGTGTTTGAGTTTTTGTTTGTTTGAATTGATGGGGTGATGGGTTTTTGGTTGGAGTTTGGTTAGATCTATAGATTTGGAAAATGGGGTTGTTGAATTTGGATCAAAGATTGTGTTTTTATCTGTTTTCAGTTGTTTTTTTGACTGTTTAATGGTTTTCTGATCTAGAATTGAGTATGAACAGCTTCTGAGTTTGTGTTTTCTTTAGTTCAATTGTTCTTTTTATGTACTTATAATCTGTTCATGTTCTCATTTCTGGATAATTGGTTTGAATGTATGTAGTTTAATTTGTCTGAGAATGGGAGTTGTTTCTGGAAAAACAAGAAGGCGAAAAAAAGAGGAAGAATTGACTGTTCTTAATATAGAAATGGATAAGCAGGGCCCCTTTAGTTTTGGTGTCTATGGTGGGGTTTGATGCATTTGGTTGAGGTGTTTTTAGTTTATGCAATACTTTTCGAGATTCGAAGCTGCAATCTGTTGAAGTTGTTATCTCAGATTACAGAGCCCTTTAATCATTTATGTTCACTAGTTTGATTTGAAAATGTCTTCTTTTACTATGTTTTCAGGGATGCAGGCCAACTCCAATGGAGATTGGAGGCACTTCAGCCAACATTACGCCAAGTTCTTCACGAAATCCAAGTCCCCCATCTTCATACTTTGCTAGCCCTATTCCATCTTATCAACCTAGTCCAACATCCTCATCTTTCCCCAGTCCATCACGTGGCGATGCTAACATGTCGTCACATCCATTTGCATTTCTCCATAGTTCTATTCCCTTGTCGCTACCACCATTACGAATATCAAACAGTGCCCCTGTAACACCACCTCTTTCATCACCAACTAGAGTCCCTAAGCAGATATTTAATCTTGAAACTTTGGCCAGAGAGTCTATGTCTGCTTTAAATATCCCTTTCTTTGCTGCTTCAGCCCCAACTAGCCCAACTCGAGGTCAGCGATTCACTCCTGCTACAATACCAGAGTGTGATGAGTCTGATTCATCCACCATTGATTCTGGCCAGTGGATGAGCTTTCAAAAGTATGCAGCCAATGGGATCCCTACTTCTCCGACTTTTAATCTTATTAAGCCTGTAGCTCAGAGAATTCCTTCTAATGATATGATCATCGACAAGGGTAAGAGCATTGAGTTTGACTTTGAGAATGTATCAGTGAAGGCAGCATGGGAAGGAGAAAAGATTCACGAGGTTGGTTTAGATGATCTGGAGCTCACTCTCGGAAGTGGGACTGCTCGGATGTGATTTTCATGATTAAAAGAACTGCTCAGTGTGGATTACAGATTGAGATATCCGAGCTTGCTAGCTGATGAATCACTCAAGCAGTCCAGTGGATGTTCGTTGCAGAGATAGATCTTGCATGTTGCTGTTTACCTTATATACAAACATTTTTTTTTCTTTTTCGCCTTAATCTGAGAAGGCCCTTTAAGTTTAGTTTGGGTCTTGTCATAAGCATTTAGGTATAGATAGTTGATGGTTTCTATCTCCTTGTGGTTGAATCGTTTTAAGTCATTGTAGACTAGCAGGAGTTCTCCATAAACCTGAACTATCCAGAGTTATATTTTCTTGATTATAGTAGATTCCTTTGTTGCTATGCAACTGGATTTCTTGTTTTATGATCTAGCTTCAATTCGAAATCAATGGATGTGCTATTCTTTAGTCTCTTTGATGC